ATTAATTAATTTTTTTAAACATTTGGTTTGTATTAACTAACATATTATATCATTAGTGAATTGTTTTAAATATATTATGAATGTTAAATTTATTAATTTTTAAAAAGGTATTTTTTGATCATTTTATATTTTTCAACTAACTTATCAGCTAATTTTTGTCAAACGTATTTAGTTCATCAACTAGCTTATCAGTCAGTTTATCAGACACCAGTTAGCTTATCAGTCAAAATTCAAAAACTAGATTATCAGTTAATTTGTCAAAAATAGATAGTGTTATAATAAGATTCACATAGATCAACCAATATTGATGCTCATTTAGCCTCAGTTAAAAAAGGCATATTAGATTATTGAAAATAGATTTAAATGACATATTTATTATATATGTTTGAAACCTCTTTTCACTTTACAATAACTTTTTAAACTAATAATTCAATCGGGTGTTACATATTATTCGTAATTTCAATGATATTAATCAATTTATGTAAGTTTTATATTATTAAAAACGCAGAACGAAGAGCTCAAGGAGTGTTGTACAAGGATATGGAAGGCAAAAGACACGTGGCGCTTTTAAACAAAGGGTCTTCGAAAAATGAAGTTATATTATCAGCTGGAACACTTGGGAGCCCACAGTTGCTGATGCTGAGTGGTATTGGGCCTTCCAAACATCTGAAGGCCCATAAAATCGAGGTGGTTTTGGATCAGCCCATGGTTGGACAGGGCTTATCCGATAACCCAATGACTCTGGTTATCCTCCCTTCCGCCCTACCCGTAGAGATTTCTCTCATTGAGGTCGTGGGTATTACCCGATTCGGGAGCTTCATTGAATCCGCCAGCACCCATATTAACTGGCCATGGGTCGATAAAATCGGCTCCGGTTTTGGACTTTTTACGAACCAGGTTTGAATTTATGTATGTTAATAATATTTTATTTTTAAAAAATCCAAATATATGTTTGAATAAAAGATTGTTTGAATTATTTACGACTGATTACAATGTTTCAGACCAAGGATTTGGACAAGATAAGATCTATTATTGCACGTCGCTTCCACAACGATCCATCAGGACTTAATTTCGGAGTCATCCTTCAAAAGATAATGGGTCCACTTTCTTCCGGGACTCTGGAGTTAGAAACGACAAATCCGGACGATAATCCAAAAGTCACATTTAACTACTTCAAAGACCCTAGAGACCTCCAAAGATGTGTTCAAGGCATGGACACCATCATAAAGGTCTTGGAATCAAAAGCAATGTCTCAATATCGAGACCCTTTATTGCCGATTCAAGACCTGCTCGATCTGATCGTTGCTTTACCGCTCAATTTGAAACTTAGACACGTCAATACTGCAATTGACCTAGAACAGTATTGCAAGGACACTGTCCAGTCTATATGGCATTACCATGGAGGATGTCAAGTTGATAGAGTAATTGATCACAACTATAAAGTCATCGGTGTTGGTGCGCTGCGTGTTATCGACAGTTCAACTCTTTTGTATTCTCCAGGAACAAATCCACAAGCTACTATGATGATGCTCGGAAGGTAACTACAAATACGCATTATCAATTTTATTAAAATATATCGTAACAATAAGAAAATACTTTATTTTATCTGAACAAAAAATAATTGATTTAATGATGATGCTTTTATTTATTTTTGGTATTTCAGGTATATGGGACAAAAGATACTAAGAGAGAGATTGACATTGGATGGAAGTAAAAAATGAAAGGGAACAGGTTTAAAAAGAGTGGAGTTGTGTTATATAATCAACTAGAAACTACTCGTGCAATGCAGTGAGATATATATATTCATTTTAATGTTTCGTTTTGTTTTTTGTCTCTGTTGATATAATATGATTTATGTGGTTTTGAAAACAATAATTTTTTACTTTTGAAAAAAATTTGAAAATATCATAAAATTTTGAAAAAATATATCAATATTAATATCAAATTAACTTCTTTAATGCAATTTTTTGTTATAATTTCATTTAGGTGTAATAGCAAATTAATTTATTTTGGGCTTAACAATATAATTTTAACAATATAATTTTTATAAAGATAATAATTCTGTTAAAACTCAATGATTATCATAATTATAAATTAAATTTTTTATATTTAAATATGATGTTTATTTTGTATTTGATTATGTTTATTTGCAGTTACTTATACGAATTCAAATATAGAGTTTTAATAAGTTGTAATTACGCATAATTATTTGTAATCTTAAATTTTAAGTAATATGCATTAATAAACAATACTTCATGCATAAAGAATAGTTTTTAAGAGTTTTTGTCAAATGCTTTATAATATAACTAGAAGGGTACTCGTGCAATGCAACGAGAGAAATCTCGATTTTAATGTTTAGCTTTGATTATTTTGTCTTCATCGATATAATACGATTTTATGTGGTTTTGTGAAAAACAATAATATTTTTATTTTTGAATGAAATATAAATTTGAAGGTAGCATAAAAATTTGAAAAAAAAATAAATCGATATTAGTATCAAATTAACTATTTTATAGTTCTCATTTTTTTGGTGTAACTTCTTTAATTCAATTTTTTTATTATAATTTAAATTAGATTTAATAACAAAATAATTTATTTTTGGTTTAACAATATAATTCTTTAGAATTCAATTATTATCCTAATTATATTTTAGATTTTTTATATTTAAAATGAGATGTTTATCATGTATTGGATTATGTTTATCTGCAGTTAGTTACACGAATTCAGATATGGAGCTTTAATAAGTTGTACTTACGTACAATTTACTTGTAATTTTGAGTTTTAAGTAACATGAATTAATAAACAATACTTTAAGCATAAAAAATTGTTTTTAAAAGTTTTTGTCAAATGTTTTATAATATACTATAGATATAAATATATTTAAAGATATAGATATATAAATATATTTATTTTAATATTGAAAAATATGTAAAATATGCCATTTAATTTCATCCCCCAAATCTTGAATAGATTTTGGCATCAGATTTGAAAGAATCTTTTCTTTAAAAAGGAATAATCAATGCCATGAATAAATGACCTCTAACTCTAAGTATTAATAATTAAATAATTGTTTTTTACTGATATTTACTTTGCTAGAAGGGTATTCGTGCAATACAGTGAGATAAATCTTCATTTTAATATTTAGTTTTTATTATTTGTCTCTATCGATATAATACGATTTTATGTGATTTTGAGAAAGCGATAATGTTTTTTATTTTTTAATAAATATAAATTTGAAAATGACATAAAATTTTGAAAAATTATAAATCGTATTTATTAGTTCTCGTTTTTTTTTTGTGTAAGTTCTTTAATTCAATTTTTATTATAATTTAATTTAGATTCAATAACAAAATTATTTATTTTTGGTTTAATAACATAATTTTTTATAAAAATAATAATTAAACATTCTGTTAGAACTCAATGATTATCTTAATTATATTTTAAATTTTTATATTTAAAATGAATGTTTATCATGTATTTGACCATGTTTTTCTACAGTTAGTTACATGAATTTAAAAATGAAGCTTTAATAAGTTGTACTTACGCAAAATTACTTGTAATCTTGAATTTTAAGTAATATACATCAATAAACAGTAGTTCATGCATAAAAAATGGTTTTTAAGAGTTTTTGTCAAATGCTTTATAATATAGTATAGATAAATTTAAATTAACGACATCTTATTAATATTGTTTTAATGACATTAAATTCAAAAATGATTTCTAAGGCATTCGAACTCAAAACCCCCGTCAATATAACAACAATTTTCTTGTTTATAATCGTTTGATAGACGAAACAACGTTAAAAAGTAATCACCAACAATAAACTTGATATTAGTTAAGCAGTGTCTTTTATGATAGTTTCTCCCATGCCCAGATATTATGTTGATGCTCTTAGTATGACATGAACATTGGCATAATGCCAAACTATTAAGATTTCAGACGCTAAAAAAAATCAAACATGGAAGATTGCTGACCTCCCTTTTAGCCGCAAATCAATTGCGTATCACTGGGTCTATAAGTCTAATGTTACAATTACCGATGTTAACGAGTCGAGTCAAATGAAGTTGCAGATCATTTTCGCTCGACGGTAATTATTGATCGTTCATTATAGATTCATGGCCTTCTTTCTATTCCAAAATCGATTTCTCTAAATTGCTTCATTTCCCAATTGCGATTACATGCAAATATCAACTTCATTGTTTTTTTTTCTAAATACTGATATAATCATATAAAAATACAATTAATCTGTAAACGTCAGTTATAAAGTTATAATATTGAATAATGAAACCGAAAAAAGTTCATTAATTTTTTTTATTGATAGTAGATCTACCTTTTCAAACCAACAAAAGAATAAATACGGTGGCAAGAAAGAAAAAAAAGGCACTTTTAAAAAGGCGTGGACATCCTCTTTTAGGCATATGCCAGTTCTTCAGATGGTTTATTCCATCGTTGAAGTCCATATAAAAGAAACCAACATGGTCAAAACCAACTAACTCATCACAAACTTCAACTATAAAGTACTTGATAGACCATTCGACAAAGCGAGATCAGTTAAAGGACTACTCTCTATTGGCATACTGTTTTAACTCAATTCGTAGGTTGCATGAGATCATTAATGATGCAGCTTGTTGGTTTTATTACGATATGCCAAAGGAGAGTTGCCCTGTAACTGTTTGTTGCTTAGATGTTCCTTTTACCTTCTTTATATTGTTCATATGTTCACGCATTGCTAAGATTTCTATGTTTTCAACGAATTTTTTCGTTAATTTTTTAGATTTTATTTCTACTGTTTTTAATTCGACATGGGCCAAACATGTAAAACAAACTTAAACAAGTTATTTTGTTTAAGATGGATCAAGTTTGAACAAGCCCAAACTACTCATATTTGCTAGGCCCAATTTGAATTTTCACTGTTTAGAAATCTAAATTTTATTTTGTAAGGGCGTTCAGGCCAAAGCCTGACTAATCCCCGGCAAATTTGGAGGCTAAACATGGCTCCACTTAAATGTCGCCAACACTCCCCTCCCAGGGCTCGAACTCGGGTTCATGACTATGTCATGCCCAAGTCTTTACCACTAGGCTAGAATCTTCATCCATGGATTCTTTATTCACCTCCGTGTGGGTCCGGAATACTTCTTTGTTCCGTAACCCTGGGACTCTTTACAACTATCCAATTAAGAACGGTAAACTTGTCTATGTATCATGAACTGCATTTAGTATTTATTAAAAAAGGTTATAAATGATACCCCCAATTAATTATTAATTAAAAATAATCATTAGTTATTTTGAATTATTATCAGTTATATCATAATTAATACTATTTTCATATTATTATTATTAATAGATTTTAATCAGTTAAAGATTAAAATATAACAATTTCAAAATATTTTATAATACCTCATATAAAGAATTATAATCCGTTTTAAAATAATAAAATGTTTAATGCCTCAATTTTAAAAAATTAATTATTAAATTAAATTTTAAGTTTGACGAACTTTGATTGCTTTTATTAAAATCATCAATTAAAATGATATATTTTCAAAGGTCCATCTTTAATTACGTTAAATATTATTTTAAAAAAGTTCATTAAATATCTAAATGCAAAAAATTATGTAGTAAATTGTGAAAAATTTGTAAAATTATCACAAAAATGATATAAAATATAAAAAGTACATTTTAAACATAAATTATTAACTTAAATTTTATTACTAATTATTTTAATCAGATAAAACATATTAGTGTCAAAGGTTAAAAACCCAGTCCATTAACCAAAGATAAATCAAATTACAACTCACAATTTATTTGCTCAACTATATATAATTGTTTGAGAGTGACTTAAAATTATTGAAAGTTGTTTAATTAGTAAGAGGCTGTTTGACAGTTGCTGAATGGTTTGTTACAGAATGATTAAGAAGTTCATATAATATAATACAAAATGAAGTATAATTATTTGATAATTATTCAGAATGAAATTAGAGTATTGAATGATTAAGAAAAACTCAAGATACAAAATCATTCAAAAACATTTGGAATTATTAAGAGACAATTTTTTTTTGTCAAACAAGATTCACCTATTAGCAACTAATAGGTGAATCTTGTTTGACAAAAAAAAATTATATTTTATTTTGCATAATATCATGAGAACATTTTAATCATTTTGACCACTTAATAATTCTGTACAAAATTATTAAACAACTGTCAAACAACCCCTAAATTTCTAAGAAAAACTTTAAACAGAAAGAAAAGTTTTTTTTAAGCCTTCCTAAAATAACCCCTTTCATATATATATAAAATCATCCGGAAAAGTAAAAACTTTCTGTATGTATAGAAATAAAATTAATCTACCTTGACATCTAACCTAACCATTACCGTTAAAACTCATGGTCAACTCAAAGTCCACATTGGCCCAGAAAGCATATCGCCCACCACGTGTCACAATCGTACGGCAATTGAAGCCCTGTTAAATCTCAACCGTTGACTTTGGTCAGGAGGGGTCCCTGACAAAGGGATAAGTGGGTCTGCTCCTTTCTTTAGGGTTTGCTGCTTCCTTTTTTCCAATTAATCAATTAATAATCATATCAACCTTCATCCATGAACCATGATTTAGATTCAAAACCAGTTTACCAAATTACTCTCTCCTTCATCTACTTCTAATCCATCACCCTCCTTTCACCAATATGGAATCTCAACACCAACATGCTACCAACACCCCTTCAAAATCTGATCCCTTGCTCCAAGTTGGAGATTCACCGGAAATTCCACAGCTTCAGCAGCACCAGCCGCCGATGTTCAAACAAGAGCCATCAGAAAATGACTCCATGGCTGGTTCCATGCCTGCACCAATCATGCCAATGTCAACACAAATGACGGTGGCACCGCCACGGAGGCCTTCCAAGGACCGCCACACCAAGGTGGAAGGTCGTGGCCGGAGAATCCGCATGCCGGCGGTCTGTGCTGCTAGGATCTTCCAGTTAACTCGAGAACTCGGCCACAAGTCAGACGGCGAGACGATTCGGTGGTTGTTGGAGCACGCAGAGCGGGCTATTATTGAAGCCACCGGTACCGGAACTGTTCCCGCAATCGCCGTCAGCGTTAACGGAACGTTAAAAATTCCAACGACGTCTAGCGAAGGGGAGGGTGTTAGTAAAAGACGGAAAAGAGCCAGTAACAGTGAGTTTTATGACGCGAATGACTCGTTGTCATCCGGTTTGGCCCCAGTTGCCCCACAAGGGCTCGTGCCCGTGTGGACCATGGGAGCACCACCCACCATGGGTATGCAGGGCGCAGCTTTCTTCTTGATCCCACCTGCAAGTATTTCCGGCGGACCATCGTCGGCCCACTTACCACAGTTGTGGGCCATACCCGCCGGTGCAACCCCCGTTTTTAACGTCCCGGCAAGACCCATATCCAGTTATGTGTCGGAAGGTGTTAGTTCCGGAGGTGGAGTTCAAACGCCGTCGAGATCAGTATCAAACAGTAGTGGGAGTGAAGATCAATTGGGGAAGGTTTCGACGAAATTGGCCCCAAGTTCAGCTTCGATTTCAACTACAAGTTCAGCTCAGATGCTTAGAGATTTCTCTTTGAAGATTTACGATAAACGAGAGCTTCAATTCATGATGGGTTCTTCAACCGATCAAAACCCATCTTCAAAACCTTCATCTTGATCAAATTCATGATGAACAGATTAATTAGTTTCAGTGCGTTTAAAATTACATAATCTCTTGTGTTTAAGCTTTTTCATTTTTATTATTATTATTATTTTTAAATTATAAATATGTAAATGGGTTTAGAATAATGAAAAAGGTTATCTTTAGTGGGGTGGTGTAATCTGGGGTTGGGGGTGAGGGAGAGCACGTGCGAGTTAGGCATAGACACGTGCAGGGATGGCGCGTGCACAAGTGGCACTTGGTGTTGGACCCCCTTTTTATCTTTTTGGATATGGGGTTTAGGTGAAAAGCATAGGTGTCGTTGATGCTTAGGTGTAGTGTGGGGACCACCCGCCTGGCTTCATTAAATAATCAAAAGTTTAATTCTAAAAAACATTTTTAATATTACGATAATCATAAAATAACTATTTATTTGTTATTATATTATTTTATTAATTATTATTATTATTATTATTATTATTATTTTTATATGTAATTAGAGGGGGAGCAGGCCTACGCGAAACTAGGTGGTGGGTTGTGTAGTGTTGGGCATTGGAGTGATCAATGGCGGACATATCAAGCTTCAAAGAGGGTCCAAGACTCGTTTAATTTATTTGTGTAACTAGATTTATTTTACCGTATAAAAGGTGTGTCTGATAAATTTTGAAGGATACTTTATAATATTAGAAAATACAAGAAACATCAATTAAAATAATGAAAAACAAGTCATTGAAATGATTTTATAGATCTTTAGATTCATCTTAAAGATACAACCGTAAAATTTTCGGATACACCAATGAGAATGACAAGTTGGTGGTCATAGTGCTTTGAATTTTGTCTTTGCTTCCATACAAAGTCTTGGACCTTTTTTCTAAGTTATAACCTCCACTTACCCACTCTAATTTCTTGAATCGTGGTTCATATTTTGATATTCTAATTTAATATTGATATTGAATAATTTACAAGGAACAAAAAGTGTTATAAAAAACTAGAAGCAAACAAATTAGGATGTGATTAAGATCACTATCCTTAGAATAATATTATCCCCCCCACTATATGCAGTTAGGTTATGGTTAATTTATTCTCGGGATTAACCTAATCTAGATGAATGATACAACAAATCGTTGCAGAAATTGAATAGGAGAAGAGAAGAACCAAGAAAAATGAAACATATTATTCTACAAAATGTAAGATATATACGGACTATGTGTAACAAAAAACTATTAGTGGATAAGATTTAAACCCAAGAAACCGCACATACGGATAAGAAACTGTACTACCGTACTGTGCATAAAATAAAAACCGGGTTTTTCTGAGAACCGCATGTTGGTGCTGTCTTTTGATCCACTAACAATTTCTATATCAACCCAAATCAAGTAGAAAATCAAGCTCAAATCCTCTTTATCAAATATCACTTATTTGATAAACAAAATAGAATAAGACTTATAAACCACTCTCATATTAGCTCCTCTTCCTATGTGGACAAAACTTCCAACTATTGAAGACTATATCCAACAAAAAGTTATATGAATAATCTTATTTAATTTTTTGTTTAAGAAATGAAAAATAGTTTTTTATGCATGAAACAATATTATTTTAAACGTATATGAACATACACCAAGTGCCACTCTCATCTATTATGATGAATGATCGTGTGAGAATAGAAGTTAAAGTGATAATCTCAAGAAATGATCTCCACCCTTGATAAATTATATTGAATTCAAGTACAACCTAAAATTCGAAACATATAAATTTACTTGATTTAAATTGTTATCAAACTTTTTAAGCCATCCATGTGTTAAGGTAGGTAACTGTAACTATGGGTGTTATTCGAACGGTTAAATCTGTTTTTTTTTTAAACTAACTGATAACTAAACCAATAAGGTTCGGTTTAGTCGATTTCCGGTTATTAGGTTTAGTGACTAGTTAAACCAAACTAGAATTTATTTATTTTTCGTTGAACACTTGCTCGAATAATTTTTCCAAATTCAATGTCCGTTGCTTTTAGTATATAATTGTATTATACATTCATACTCAACAATAGACTTGTATTAAATGAAGACTATCATCTACCAAAAACCAATATATATACAAAAAGACGTTATTTTTTCATGCGACGGATTACATAAAGTAGAAAACATAATATAACGAAAAAACATAATCCTCTTGTTGCCACGAGGTTCCAATGCGATGACTCCAGGCTATCTGCAAAACAGGTGGTAGCCCTGAAATTAGTCGTCTCGCATAACGAGTTGGATATCCAAGTTAATTAAAAAAATATATTATATAGCAATAAAATATGTAAAATACTAATAGCATAATATGTGGCTTTATTTTTGAAAATATGAAATATATAAAAAAATAAGTAGAATTTGTTATTTGGTTAATTCACTTTAACGGAATTAGAAAAAGATTATATGAAAACCAAACCGTTTAACCCAAAAACCGAATAACTCGAAACCATTTAATCCAAATCTCATTCGGTTCGGGTGGATTATTTGGTTTCAATTATTTTTGACACTCCTAGCTAGAAATGACTAAAAACTGGCCCCTATATGAAAAAGTTGGCTTGTAACTGGGCTGGCAGGTTCTGGTCTCGACCTTCATAATCGGTCCCAAAACAGGTCACAGGTAGACAAGTTTTTTTCATTATGGATCTTGAAATTGTACATCGAATTTTGAAATACACTTTAACTATTATATTTATTTGCAAAATCTTGTATTACTATTTGTAAAAATCTTTAAATATTAAATTTACATGAAAAAAAAATCAATCCCTATGTAAAACCGTTCTTATTTTTTCAGAGAACATGCAATCGATCCCAAACCAGGTTGCGCAATGTGGCCATTTCTACCTATAGCAAGTGTGGACGGAAAGAAGAAAGTTAAATATAAGGATGACAGAGGGTAATAAATACATACGTTAAATATAGGGATTTGTCTATCTAGGTTGGGTTTTGATGAAAATGAAAGTTATAATAAGAAAAGTTTTTCATCCATGAATCAATTCTAATTGAAGATAAACACTAATAAGATGTATCAGATCAATTCTCTTCTAAAAACGCAATTCATTGGTTGGTTTGAGATTAAAAGTGATAAAAAATTTATATTTTTTCTTATACTTCTCACCTTAACTCTTATTCTTACAGGATACTTCATCCCATCTCCATCCCCGTATGGGAACAAGTTTCCTTCCCCATCTCCATCTCCATCCCCGTATGGGAACAAGTTTCCTTCCCCATCTCCATCCTCACCGGGAATCGGGGACTTTTTCTCCATCCCTTATAAATAAATACTCGGGGTCGGGTTTGAGGTGTATCCCCATCCTCATCCCCGGTCAAACCGGGTTTGGGTATTGGGTTCCTCGTTGAGTACATGGCTTTTTTGCCATCCCTACTTACTACTTGCTAGTCTTGGTTTTGGCATGAGGGTTTTCGAGAAAACAACTGCGCTACCATTTAGGGTCTCACCTCTCCTAGACTCTGATTTCAAGGATATACCGAGTTTGTTTTAGTTTGTTGTTAATGTGTATATCTTTTTAGAGTGTATTTTTAATCAAGCTCGAATCAAACTTGTTTTTATCACTCTAAAACAAAGGTTCGTATTTTTACCACTTAGAAAAGAGAAAAAAACAAGTACATGAGGATGACATTCGAGTTCTCTTGTTTACAAAAGATCAGCAAAGTACAAGACGTACAAGTACTCCATCTTTTACCAGCTGTCCCGTCTGACCTTCTAACCGATTGCTACATCTTAACTGTCTTTTTTCACACCTGCAACTCCACAATTCCACCATGTCTCCATTGCTACTTCCATTACAAACTTCCTTCAACTCCGTAAGCAACAGCGACAGATCGTTGAAAATCACACCTGTTTACACTGTTTTGATCATTCTTTACACCTTACAGACTACAATTAATCATCTGGTTGACTCTATGTTGTTGGAGTTTCTTTGTTTAGAAGCCCAACAAAGCTGTTAGATCTCCATTTGAGTAACTTAAAAGTACATTACAATCTTCAACAAGCACTATAAATTCAACAAGACTTCCATGGAGTTCATCAACCCTTGCCTGCTGTTTCTATAACAATATCTCCAGATTCAAGAGATGGTTAAAATGTCTTTGATGATTTCAGCAGTTGCTGCCTTTATTCTTTTACTAACTATGGTTCCACTTTCAGAAGCAGCATTAAGTGCTAATTATTATGATCAAATGTGTCCACAGGCAGAGAATATTATTTACCAAACTGTTTGTAATGCCTCTATCTACGACCCTAAAGTCCCAGCCCGCCTTCTTAGGATGTTCTTCCATGACTGTTTCATAAGGGTATGTGACTATATCACCATCTAGCCCCCTCGCACACACAAAAATATCTATCTTGTCATGATCTAAGTGCATGTTGTATTTATGGACAAACAGGGATGTGATGCGTCTCTGCTGCTTGACTCGACTCCGGAAAACAAGGCAGAAAAAGATGGACCTCCAAATATATCAGTTCGATCATTTTATGTAATTGATGATGCCAAAACAAAGCTCGAAAAGGCATGCCCAAATACAGTTTCTTGTGCTGATGTGATAGCAATTGCTGCAAGAGACGTTGTAGCAATGGTAACCTTTTTCCTTCTTTTTATATCACCCTCCCCGGAACCCACCTCTGGGTAGGATATATTGGGTTGGTTTGGTTTGGTTTTGTTTTGTTTTATTGTTTCAAATTCTTCTATCCCTCTAACTGCCTTGTTTTATGTTTCTTCTATCACCACTTCTCCAGTCTCAAGGTCCATGGTGGAATGTACTTAAAGGAAGGAAAGATGGGCGAGTGTCAATAGCTAATGAAACTAGAAACTTGCCATCTCCATTTTCCAATACCACGACACTCATTCAGAGTTTCGCTAAAAGAGGATTAAGCATCAAAGATTTGGTTGCACTTTCGGGTGGACACACTCTAGGGTTTTCACATTGTTCTTCTTTTAGTGCCCGGCTACACAACTTTAGTGCCGAGCACTTCTCTGATCCCAGCATTAACAGTGAATTTGCTATAAACCTAAAGAAGAAATGCCCCATACCAAACAAGGACCACAATGCAGGAGAGTTCTTAGATTCGACTTCTTCAACATTTGATAATGACTATTACAAAAGAATTGTAATGGGTAAGGGTGTCTTTGGGTCGGACCAAGCTCTGTTCGAAGATTATAGGACAAGATGGATTGTGGATTCATTTGCCAAAGACGAGAAGCTGTTCTTCAGAGAATTTGCAGCTTCAATGGTCAAACTTGGAAATGTAGGTGTCATAGAAGATGGCGAAATTAGAGTGAAATGTAGTATCGTGAATTGAGGTGTGAGGAGGGAGGGAAAGATTTAACATTTTTACAATTCTTATATCATAATTTGTTGTTTGACTCGATTATATTTAATAAAATAAATAAATGTTGAGCTATTGGCATCTTCTGATGTGTTAAACATTGATGCATAAAAGCAATTCATGATTCTAAGAGTTGTAACCTAAATAAAACTGATGCTTGGCAAATGAAAAGCATATAGATAATACATGTCGAAACCAACGAATGATGCAAAAAAAAATATTGATATGAAGATTCATGATATACAGTCTAGCAATGTTGATCATGTGAATCGTATTCTAAACCACAATTATAGATAATACAAAAGTGATCACCAACCTTTGAACATGTGAACTCTAAATCCTGTTTAACCATGCTTGACAGTCATCATGCAAAAGCAACATCTGATCTTAAAATATACTTGGCACCTTTTCTAACATTGCGTGCTTCATGTAGCATACACTTGGCTCCATGGATGTGGAAGAGGGCCATTCCTTGAGTTGGAGTCACCTAAACCTCACACAATTCAATTGATATTGATAATGATAAAGAGAGGGATGTAAATTGTACACATGATATAAGAGAAAGTAGAAGGAAATGTACCTCGGCTACAATGCTATTTCGTGGACCATAAAAGACAGTTTCACCTCCAACCAGAGATTCAGAGGAGTCATCTGAACTGTTCATATCAGATTGATGTTTGGAGTCAACATCACCATTAAGATATATTAGTAAAGTATAATGGGTGTGTTTTCCATCTCCAAGATCGACACTTTCATCAATATGTCGACCAAAATGTTGACCAACCTTGTACCTGAATATGAGTCAACTTATAGCATTATGAATAGAGATGAGTCTGTTAACTTGACTGAACATTTACCCATGAAGCATATACGAAATTGTGCCACGTATGAACGAAATGAGGCAATTATTTTGGTAAACCAGCAATTTAATATGACAAATATGAACAAACCTGTAAAGTCTAATATTTGGGTTTAACCCAACAGCAACTTTGCCCCTAATAGTAAGATCAGATAATAGCTTGCCAAGTCCAGATTCCCATAATGTATCAGCAAGAACAGGATCATTTACAGCAATACGATCGTTGTCTCTATAAGCTTCACCTTTTGTTGGTCCAAGACTCCCTTGGTGAACAAACCCAATCGATTCTGCGGCTTTTACAAATGCCTTTGATTCAGCAGCTGTTAAGAAATTCTGCACCTGAGAACCTTATACAAAAGAGGATCATCTTCTGCATCTAACTCTAGTCTGCCCAACAAAAACCCTAATTTGACATACTTAAACAGTTAAACTTGATAACTTCAATTTGGATCATGTAAATAAGATTTTTTTAATATATATGCATATTGAACAAATTACGGAGGATCCAGAAGAGGATGAGTCTTCCTTTTTTAACAACGAAACTTAATTGTACGACACTCGAATCGAATCGAATCGAATCAAACCCACATAAATCAAATATAACAAACACGATCGATAAGAGAATCCTGAAAAGCTACAAAACTACAAATTAACATAGGAAACATACAGTAAAGAGATCGTAATCTTTTAGGCGAGTGATACGGAGATTAGACTTGGGTTTAATGACAGGCCAATTCGTCTCCGTCGTCTTCGATTTCTTCCCATTTCTTCCGTCTTTCTTTCTATCCCCCATCATCCTCTTCTTCATGAATGTGATCTCTCTTCTTCGGGTTTCAGTGTTTATAAACCTGTTGCCCCAAGGCCCAAACCCTGACGGCCGGACCGACCCATCAATTCACGCAAATTTCTTTATGAAAAATAGTGTTATGGGCTTTTTTAAGGCACAAAAAAAGGGGCCAAAAATTCACAAATGGGTTCCTGTAAAAACCAGCAAAGTCTTATAATGAAATGAACTCAACACTTAGTTTATTCGGTCAATGTATAATCATACATGATTGTTTAGTCGTGACTTAATGATATAGAAAGTGACCTAAAATGAAGTTTTTTCCAATTAAAGAACACATTTTTTTAATCTGTGAAAAAACCGTTCCGAACAAAATTCTTCCCAATCTATATCGACAGATTGATCCACATATACAACTTTATCCATACATGACTTCTTAAAAAACCAATCGAACACTGTTCCCCTAATATTGGTTATCTACATTTTAAGACCCCGATAAAAAGACAAAAAGGGGATTTTTACTACTAAACGAATTAATGGTGAAACTTACAACTTAATTACAATTATCTAATTTTATTAGATTTTAAAATATTTGTAATAACTACGAAAAATGAAAGAAGATAACTATATTTGCTTTATTATTAGGCCTGGTGATTGATAAGTTATATGTTTAAAAATGTGTACTTGCGAGTTTAAATTTATAAATATGATAAGATGTGATATAAATATTTTATAGGAAATTTAAAATTTTTGTTGAGCACATGGTTTTGGCATAGATAAAGGTTGGAATCGGGACATAAAAGATGATGTCCTTGGTCCTTTGCAAGTTGCTATCATGCTACGGGGTGGACTCTCACCATCGTCCATTTAGTTACATAAATACGAGATAAGGACGTCCAAAAGTAAACAATGGCAATTTCAAATATATGTATATATACAGAGACTTGAGATCATGTGAGACAAGTTTTTATGCTTGAAATTTCACAGCAAAACTCTGTGAAGCTAAAAAAAGCTGAACATTCATGGCAAAAACATTGTGAAGGTTATCTTCACAAATTTTGGCTGTGAAGTTTCAAATGTAAAAAAAACTTGTCTTATGTGTCTCGTGAAAACAACATTGTCTCACGTGAATCTAACCCTATATATATAAGCATTTGACAAAAACTCTAAAAAACTATTTTTCATGCGTGAAGTATTGTATATTGATGAGTATTATTTAAAATTTAATATTACGAGTAAATTATACGTAAGTACAACTTATTAAATCTTCATGTTTGAATTTGTGTTACTAACTGCAGAAAAACATAATCAAATACAAGATAAACATCTTATTTTAAATAAAAAAAATCTAAAATATAATTAAGATAATCATTGAGTTCTAACGGAAACTTGATTATTATCTTTATAAAAACGTATATATTATTAAACCTAAATTAAATTACATCGTTACGTTAAATTAAATTATACTAAAAAATTTGAAATAAAGAAATTACAGAAAACAAGAACTTTTAAATGGTTAATTTGATACTAATATCGATATAGTTTTTCAAAATTTTATGATATTTTATTCAAAAATAAAAACATTATCGTTTTCTTAAAACAAATAAAACCGTATTATATCGACATAGATAAAAAAAACGAAACGTTGAAATCGGGATGTGTTTCGATACATTGCACGAGTACTCTTCTAGTACATACATACATACATACATACATACATACATACATACATACATACATACATACATACATACATACATATAGAGAGAGATGAATTATTATGCAACCACTTACATATGTACAACCAATACAACTCAATCTCAACCGTCCATTTTATTTGATAAGTATATGATTTCATAAAAGTTTTGATTGTTTCATAATATAAAACATTGATCATAATTAATGAACCATAGTCATCTTTAATAATATTAAAATCATAATAAATGAACTCTCATCATTTCCATAAATATCTCAATTGGTTGTAAAAATGTGATGGGTTGCATTTGAAACGTCATCTCTCTCTCTCTCTCTCTCTCTCTCTCTCTCTATATATATATATATATATATATATAGGCCTAATCAAATGAGAACTAATTAGTTTGTGGCAACTGTGAGGTCCAATCTCAACCATAAATCAATAGATAAATTAGGAAATTTATAATTTTGGTAATTTTGAATTAAAATTTTAATGCATGGACATTTTAGGTATTTTAAAACTTTCCTCTCTTCTCTCTGTCCCCTGTTCTCCGGTGATACCACAGTGGTATCACAATGCATCTTATATATGTTTGGTTATCATATTGTGGTTGTTTATGTGGTCGATCGGAGATGTAACATAGTGGTATCACAATGCATCTTATATGTGTTTGGGTATCACACTATGTCTTTTGTTTAACATAGTCAATATTTTTAGGTATCACAGTGGTATCACCGGAGGATGGTTGCCGGAAGCCGGAGGATGGGGGATGGAGAGATGAGAGATGAGAGAGAATACCTAAAATTTCCTTACATTAAAATTTTAATTCAAAATTACCAAAATTGTAAATTTTCTAATTTATCTATTGATTTGTGGTTAAGATTGTATCTCATGGTTACCACAAACTAGTCAGTTCTTCCTTGAATGTGTCCCTATATATATTATTCATATTATATATAGTGAAGGTTCATATAAGAAATATAGATATCGTAAGGATGTAATAAGGAAATATATGAATCATTGAGAAAATTCAACCGCAAATATGTATGTGAATTTATATGATATGAATAATATATAACAGTGGTTCACATATACATATTCAATTAGATTTTTTCTTTCAATTTTTTCAATGATTTATATAACAACATTAATTACCTTACATTTTTTTTTCTTCTTCTGATATTTAGTTTTATTATTTGAAATAACTCCTATATATATGACTAATTATTTGAGAACCCATAAAATTAACAAACCCTTGAAAACTAATACATCATATACCATGTCATATCATCATATGATCATTTTTGTATAAAGTTAACATATGTTTGTTTATATACATATAAAGCAAATGTTAATCAATAAATTAAATATTAGTTTTAAATAAAAAAAAATATCATCCAAAACAATATAAATGTTGTATAATTAAAAATTTATTAGAATGGATAATTAATTATAGAAAAATAAAAAATAAATAATAATTGGAAACAAAAACACATGGAAATGTTGGTGAGGAGACAAAGGACGCTCCTCATTTTACATTCTGAATTTCGTTTATATGGTTTTTCGTTTTCTTCCATAACAACAAAACAAACTTCCATCTCATATTATATGCCACCTTTTATTTTATATATATATATAAATCTATCTTTTAACTTCAAAAAACATCCGTTTTATTATTTTAAACACGAATGCTTGTATTATGTCTGTTATGTTTTTCAGTTAAACCCTTAATTAACTGTAACGTCTTCATTGTTTTTTATTCAATTTGAACCAATAAAACACGTATGATAAATAAGGTATTGTGTTTGGATACGTAAAAAATGGAAACGTAAATTAAAAATGTGGTAAAAATGAATGATATAATAATAATAATAATAATAATAATAATAATAATAATAAAAGGGAGTATAGAAAGGCAAAAGTGGAATTGATGATAAGCATCGGTTTGGAAATTTGAATAGTCGAGACACAGAGAGAGGGGGGTCAGGAATATTTGTGTAGGTAACGAATCTGCATCTGAGCCTCCCGACACGTAATTATTAATTTATTATCCTTATCTCTCTTTTATTATATTCATTTCCTAACATTTTAAATCCTATTTTTTTTTTAACTTTTATAAAATAAGCTATATACCTGTTCATTCATAGCACTTGGGATATATTTATTTAAAAAAAAAAAAGGTTTTTATCAGTCTTCCATGTCTGATTCGTTAAGAGGCAAAATCATTCAAACTATTTTTTTCTAGTTTTTTAGAGGCACTTGTGTCTTATTTTTCTATTATCTGGTAAGAGGTAAATCAATCTCTTATTGTTCTCCAAACCTTCATCAACAATGTTTCTCAATCAATTAACCTTAATCGATCATTAGCAAATCGATTCTCACATCTTCCAATTGATGACTTCGTTTAAATGAATGTTAATTATATAATTTAGATGTAGATTTTGTAATGATGGTGAATAAATATGTGAAATTGTATAAATTTATCCATAAATTAAACACTATATCTAATGGGTAAAAATAATTTAAATAAATTCAGACATTTATCAGTTTAAAAAAACAAACAGTCTTATTGATTTAGATTTTAGATTTTAACACCACCTCTTATCAATCAGAAGTGAAATAAGATATCAAGCTTCAATACCTTTTAAACAACAAACGTCACCTTAAGGTCCATGGACATAACACCTTCAATTGGTAACCGTCTAGAAGAGACAAATAATTCTTTGGGTAAACTACGAGGACCAAAAATATAATTCGCTCTAAAATTAATTGTGATTTATTACTTTAAAAAAAATTCTTTATTAAAAATATTTTAAGAATGGTGCTAATTCTAGCTATTAAAAATTTAAAAAAGTTATGAACCCCACACACACACACATATATATATAGGGGCCTAATCAAATGAGAACTAATTAGTTTGTGGTAACTGTGAGAACCAATATTAACCACAAATCAATAGATAAATTAGGAAATTTATAATTTTGGCAATTTTGAATTAAAATATTAATRYAAGGATATTTTTGGTATTTTAAAATTTTCCTCCCTCCTCTCTTCTCTCTCCGGCCACCATCCGCCTGCCACCGTCCTCCGGTGATACTACATTGGTATCACAATGCATCATATATGTGTTTGGGTATCACATTGATGTCGTTTGTGTGGTCGATCAAAGATGTAACATAGTGGTATCACTATGCATCTTATATATGATTAGGTATCACAATGTATCTTTTGTTTAACAGAGTAAATATTTTAGGTATCACAGTGGTATCATAGTGGTGTCACCGGAGGATGGTGGCCGGAGAGAGAAGAGAGGAGAGATGAGAGTTTTAAAATACCAAAAATATCCTTGCATTAAGATTTTAATTTAAAATTACCAAATTTATAAATTTCCTAATTTATCTATTGATTTGTGGTTAATATTGGTTCTCACAGTTACCACAAACAACTCAGTTCTCCCTATATATATATATGGGTTGGGTTCACATGAGACCCGTAAGACTAGTTTATGTTTATTGATCAACTTTATAAGCTAATGATCTAACGGTCTAAAGTTGCACGGTGACAATTTTGTGATTATTGAGAAATCTCGTGGCAATTTTGTGATTATAAATGTTCAGATTGTAGATCTAATCCAAGGGTTGAGAATTGGTCTTACGGGTCTCATGAAAAACCATTGGTCTCACATAATCCCAAGTCTAAATATAAGGTATATTTCAAATGCAACCATATCCATTTGTACAACTAATGCAACCTAATTAATTGAGATATTTACGAAAATGATGAGAGTTCATTTATTATTATTTGAATATTTATGAAAGATAACTAGAGTTCATTAATTATGATCAATAATTTATATTAAAAAAAAATTAAAATTTTATAAAATCACATATGCATCAAATTAAATGGACGGTTGAGATTGAGTTGTATTGATTGTATGAATGTAAATGGTTGCATAATAACTTACATTTTCTCTCTCTCATATATATATATATATATATATAT